TCTTCATTACGCACACGCTGCCCGTCTTCTTCTCCCAAAAAAACACACATGCATGCATGCACGCACGCACACACACGCAGACACATGCATGCACGCACACATACACACACATCCACCCCTCCCTCTCCATCCCCCACCCACACACACCTGGCCGCGCCAAAGCATCGCTGCCTTCTTGAGCTTCTTCATGGCGTATACTCTGCCCGTCTCTGTCTCCCGACTCATGCATGCATGCAGAGACAGACACGCACACGCACACGCACACACACATCCACCCCTTCCCCTACCTTCCCCCTCACACACATACCTGGCCGCGCCGAAGCATCTCTGCCTTCTTGAGCTTCTTCATGGCGTACACGCTGCCCGTCTTCTTCTCCCAACTCATGCATGCACATACACACGCACACACACATCCACCGCTTCCCCCCACCTTCCCTCTCACACACACCTGGCCGCGCCGAAGCATCTCTGCCTTCTTGAGCTTCTTCATGGCGTACACACTGCCCGTCTTCTTCTCCCGACAGATGCGCACCTGCAAGTGAGTGGGCGGCAGCGCAATGAGTGGGCGGCACATCCGTAAGTGGGCGGCACATCCGTAAATGGGCGGCGGAGCAATTTGTGGGAGGCATGATGATGGCACGGGGACAGCACAGGGGCGGCATGGGAACAGATCAGGGAAATTGGGCTAGTAAACGAAACCACACTCCCCTCTCCCTCCCACTACCTTTACCCATCAACGCCTTTTCACCACGTACATCCCCAAAGGCCCCTCGCCCAATTATAGTAAGAATCTTTAAGTCGTTGACACTCATCTTGTGACCCGTCCCTCCGTTCTCTCCCTTCCCCCACCTTGTACTCATCAACTCCTCCGCCTCATCCCCCGTACCTCCCCGAAGGCCCCTCGCCCAATAATAGTAAGCAGTTCGAAGTCGTCGACGCTCATCTTGTGGCGCTGCAGGCGGCGGAACTCCGTCTCGCGCCGCTCGAGCTCCTGCATGATGCGCTGCTGCTCCTCCTCCGGCACGTCCTCCTCCTCCAGCTTCCGCTCCAGCTCGTTCCGCCTGATACACGCAAAAGGCAGGTGACAAATTACGAGGGGAAGCAGGGGGGGGGGGGGTGGAGGGGAAGAGGGGGGGTGAGGGAAATGGCGGATGGCGTCTGTCCGTCCGTCTCACGAGGCGTAAGGCAAGGGAGGGAATGGGTTAAGGGACGTGATGCATGGGGGACAGCATGTCTCCGTCTCGCGCCTCTCGAGCTCCTGCATGATGCGCTGCTGCTCCTCCTCCGGCACGTCCTCCTCCTCCAGCTTCCGCTCCAACTCGTTCCGCCTGCCACGCGCATAAGACAGGGCAGGTGACCAATTTGGAGAGCGGAAGAGGCGGGGAGCGGGTGAAGTAGATGGCGGTTGGCGTCAGTGGGGTAAGGGAAGTTATACACGCAGGACGGCATCTTCCCGTCTTGACCTCTCCGGATCCTGCATGATGCGCTGCTCTGCTACGCCGTTAGGCCTTCTGCCGGATGAACGACACTCCTTCCCTTCCGCTAGTCACTCCTCTTCCAGCTTCCGCGCCAGTTCATCACACCGACTGAAGCGAAACCATGGTGTAACAGAAGGACTGAGTCCTATCGAGGACACGTGATACGCGGCGAGAGTGGGGGCGGAGCCAAACGCGCGATCATTCAATCCGTCCCCTGCCGATTCTTTAAAAACCCTATCGCATCTAACATAGATTTGCCAGCTTGCGAAACATAGCCGACCGACATTGGTGGTAGTCGCAAGTTGCTGCTGGTTCCATAGCAGCGTGATCGATTTTGGGATCTGCGTGCAGACTAGTAGTCAAACTCTTACTACCACACGGACTGGTTACGTTGAAGTGTAAGTTGAAGCAACTGCTCAGTCGCATCCCCGACTCGGTCGCTCACTATATCCGCGAATCGTTGTCGCGAAAAACGTGTAACAATGACACGAAAAAACGTGAACGAAGCAATGCCGCGAGAATGTTGACGCATTGACATGAAAACGATAGATCAACGAGAAAGGCGAGATGCGCTCGTTGCGCCTTATTTTGCGCATTCTCAAAATACGTCTTGAAGCATTCTCGTTCTTCGCCTGAAAATGATAGTTACGTTACTTGAAAAAGGCATTGCGGAAACAAATTATTCGAACCGGAACTGTACCTATCCTTGCGTTCTTGAATTGTCTTCATCTGGTTCCGGTAATGCTGCTCGATGTAGTTCTTCGCAGCAGCCACTTTCTGCTTAGTAATGTCCGACGCAGGATCCATTTCCTGCTCCGGAGGGTCCACTCCCTCCTCGTCCTCCCGGATCCGTCCAGGTCCAGGAGGCTTCGGCGCTCGCATGTTGAACCATCGACGGTTGTCCGCCATGGCTACAGTGCAGACCTAGCTGCAGAAGGAGCTGCAAAACCTTCTAATAAGAACTACCCCCACGCAGTGATACTTATTTTCTGAGATTGGTACCAGTCGAATGGGAGTAGAAGGACAAGCAGGAAAACTACGGACTTGTCCAGTTCTGACAACCAACCAACCAGCAGCAGTGACTTCACATGAGTTAGCAGGTAAAGAGTTATGACTTGGTGCGCAATTCGCGGATGCCCACCTTGAGATCTCCGTGATCAAATTTCGTTTTATTATAACGGTTCCGTGCGATTCTGTGCATTCTCTAACGGGAGGTTCTATCACGGCCTCTAACCGCTACTCATCTATCGGAACCGTACATCAGTTCGTTCTTTCTCAACTGTCAGAGGAGTTCTCAAGGTTCGGTTTGGTAGAACCCTCGCGGACGTTAGGGCGGAGATGCTGGCGCGCGGAGCTACGCGCTTCTGCCTAGACGGAAAGTGGACGGAACAGTCGAATGGGAAGACTGAGACAAGTCGGAGAAAGACGGTAAAAGTACAACAAGCAGCATTTGCTTCACCAAAGGCTTCGACGATTCGCCAAGCGACTGTAGGGACTTGACAGCTGGACTAGGTCACAAACATTGCCGTTTTGCAGAACGTCGAAATATCGTCCTTACTCTTTTTGTCGGACTCGATGAAACTCTTTAAAATGAAGCTACACCAACTCATTTAGTTTCATAGGCTTCAACCTTGTTTCGTGAACTATTATTTTGCTGGGCAACTCCATACCAGCTCTATTCATCTGATGCATGCCATCATTTTTAAATGACACGACATAAAACTCAGATGGCGTTCACAGAAAGTTCCCCCAAGCGAATTAGCCCCAAGAGGCCCAAAAGTGGGTCCAGCGTGGCAGTTTTGCAACTGACCACACCCACTCCACGTGCCATGTGAAGGTGGATACACACCTAGACGAGTTTGAGCGAAATTTCAAACCCAATCAGGGGCATGTAACCCCGTAGACTTCAAGATCGTTCATGACAGACTTTCGTGAAGCAACCCCAAACACGTGCTTCACAAATATCTGTGCACTGTTGTTGAGCGCGGTTCGCTTTGGGGGAACTTCCTGTGAACGCCATCTCATACTATCGGTACCAAGTTCGCCCAGATAGAAGCTCAGGTCCGCTTCTAACTTGCCAGGGAAAAAATCATGTTGTGCTTGTAATGAAGTATTCTTTGTAAGCGCATGGGCCAATTGAATTACCAAAATCAAAGTATATTTTATAGGCATCAAACTGTAGCCCACGCTACAGCTTCGCAACCGTACTGATTTTAGGGTATTTCAGTAATGAACAAACGCGCAAACCCGCCAGCGCAGCAGTGTATGAGCATCCATGTGCCAAGTGCTGCCTGGCAGTCCAATGAGGCGTGGAAGCAGAGCAGCAGCAGCAACTAGAGAGACCCCTCGATAGAATCCCTTGCAACCGCAGGTTCCTCGTCAATGAAATTTTCCCCCAACCTGCAAAGGAGCCCGAGCCGCCTTCACGACAGGGGTCTCTGGTCACAGTCACTCTCCACCTTCATTCTTTCATTTTTGCTTAGAAAACTACCGGTTTCCCACTTTCTCTGCCATGGCGGACATCCCAGGCAACACCTTCCTGTTCGGGCGACCACCACCGAGGTAGACGCAACCCAACGGCTGGATAGATGTCGCTGGAGTCATCAGATGGCTGGATGAAGCAGTGAAGCTCTTCATCCAGCCATACTTCGGGCCCCATGCATGCTTAGAGTGTCTCATCCTTGACTCTTATCGTGGGTACCTGACCCTAGAGGTCAGAAAGAAGTACGCGGAGATGGGTGTGGTGCCAGGCGTGATATGGAGCGGTTGCACGTGAAAGGTGCAACTGCTTGACGCCGCCTTCAACAAGTCCTTCAAAGCAGTTGTGCGACAACAATTCCAGGATTGGCTTGACCGGGAGGGTGTCAAGTACCACATGGCAAAGGGTGAGAAAATCCCCTGATGCTTTACTCGTGTTGCTCCCAACCCTGACCCTCATCACATTCCATTTTGCTCACAAGGAACCTCAGTAAGGCCCCCTTCCCCCCTGAGGAGTCGCAGAAGTGGGATTCAAAGGCCCGGAAGGCCTTGCCAGCGTCCCTGATCAAAAATACGTTTCTTACCTGCAGCATCGACATATGCCTTCAGCACAGGCGCAACGGCGAGGCTACATCCATCGATGTGACGGACGACGTGACTGCAGACGGCTTGTTCAGCACAACGCGACCGAGCTGGAGACCGACGGTGACGATGAGGTCGATGAAACCTGTGTCATGTATGAATAGAGTATTTTAAAAAATGGTTCATTCATCCCAATAGAGGTGCATGCACTGACAATAAGTTTGATAGAATTAACCCTGCGGTTATGAACAACACCTGCCTATAAGCGCACTAGTTTGGACATAAGCGTGTGCACCACATGAAAGGGTGCGCTTCTATTAGGGTGATCACGGTACTTGATGCAATTCTTAGTGTATGTTGAGTCTCAAGACCTTCAATGAAGTATAGATTCAGATAGGGATCTAACAGAATATATCGGAACACAACATACATCACAAGTGCGGTTTGGCAGATACACTGGAAATGATGGTCCTCAAACTCACTGTGCTGGTGGTGGAGGAGGTGGAGGTGGCGGCGGAGGAGGGGGTGGGGGTGGAGATGGAGGTGAGGGGGGTGGTGGAGATGGCTGTGAAGGAACAGATGAAGGGGGAGGTGGAGGTGAGGGGGGTGGTGGAGATGGTTGTGAAGGGACAGGTGAAGGGGGAGGAGGAGGAGATGGAGGAGGAGGGCTAGGAAGGGCCGCTGGTGTCGGTGGTGGTGGCTTTGAGACAGAGGGTGGGGTTGTAGGGCGACAGCGAGGTGGTGGTGGTGATGGAGTGGCACAATGTTTTGGAGCAGGTGCAGGGACTGGAGCAGGGCCTGGTGCCGGCACAGGTGCAGGGATGGGAGCAGGGACGGGGGCAGGGCTGAGTGCAGGTCCGGGAGCAGGCACGGGGGCAGGGCTGGGAGCAGGCACGGGGGTGGGGCTGGGAGCAGGCACGGGCGCAGGGCTGGGGGCAGGCACGGGCGCAGGGCTGGGGGCAGGCACGGGCGCAGGGCTGGGGGCAGGCACGGGGGCAGGGCTGGGTGCAGGCACGGGGGCAGGACTGGGAGCAGGCACGGGGGCAGGGCTGGGAGCAGGCACAGGGGCAGGACTGGGTGCCGACTCTGGTGCCTGACTCACATTTCCAGCACATGAACCACTGGGTCCCTTGGGTCCCGTTTTGAACTCTATGCAGCGGCGCGCATCAGGATATGCCCTCTGGTTAGCATCTCCTGGATTGAGGTTCAGAACAGTGCCGTTCTCTGGAATAGCCGCAGATGTGAGCGCGAGGACTGCACAGATGTTCTCGAAGGCTGCGCGGGTGAAAGGGGCGTTGATGCCACGCATTCGCAGGGTTGGAGGGTTTCCGGTGATGTAAAACTGGTTGGAGGTGTAGGATTGGACGAACTGAGGAGAGATGCAGAAGAGTGTGTTGTCCCCGCTATTGGCAGATTCGAGCACGTTTCTGTACTTGTCTTCGATTGGAATTGCTGTCACTTGACCATCGGGGATGTCAGGAAGCCTGAGACATAGGGAATAATAGAAATAATGAGTTAGAGTAGACAGGACAGTGCAAAACACATTTCAGGTAACAGGCTAAGATGCTTACTGGAAAATGGGAACAAAATGTCTGTGTCCTTTGAAGTAGAAGTCGCAATCTGCTAGCGGAGTGGCTGGGCATGCTGAAACGGGATTCTCCTGCAGCCTCCTCGATGCGTGCATGTTGGTTCGCGTCCGCAGACTAATTCCCATCCTCAAAGCGCTCGAATGTGCCGGCCATTGAAGTGTTGACACCAGCCAAAACAGAAAAACAATTGGCAACAAACTTGTCGTCATGATCACGCCTCTACTACCTCCACACATACGATTCTGCGTACAAATCATATGCAGAAGAGGAAATCCTCTGAAAACACACAGTCGACGAAAGGAACAGACGAAACAGCAGCACAGGACCACCTAAAACAGCAGGCGAAACAGGAACAGTCGACGCACAGGACCACCTAAAACAGCAGCGCACCAAGCAACCTACTTGCATATGCAAAAACTCCAAGTAGTCCAAGCAAGAACTGTGCGGAGTTGGTGGTGTTGAAAATGAATGTGCTGTTGAAATTGAATGTGATTTCTTGGGAGGCAAGCCGAGTCGGCTTCATCTGGAGCCGCATTCATTTTTTCCAAGGCTGGCTGTTCTGGTTTGAGTCCTCGCTGGAGTTTTGCCACCTCAGCAGCTCTGGCTGGTCCCCAGACAGAAACCCATGAACCGCCACGAAAGCTGTGAGTTAGGTGAGTGGAGTTTCAAAACGAGACACGAGGTAACTGCCAGCTGTGTTGTTTCTATTGACAAGCTGGCTCCAGACGGGGTTTCGCGTGCGGGGAATTCTGTATCGCAATTTTTTCGCTTGAAAGTAACCATTTCGAGCACGGCAGGAAATAACGTTTAGCCGATTTTAGAGTCGTCGGTATACGACATAGTTCAGACATATTATATGGAGCTCATTTCTTTTCTGCGAATACGATCTCAAGGTTAAATCTAAACAGCAGCGAAGCTAGAGAATAATACGCAAGCAGTCACCCAAGAAGGATGTTAGTACGCCGAGCGCTCTTAGTTTCAGAAGTGTGTCTGCTTATTTCCAGATAGCGCCGTAAACGCCCTCCAACTCAACGGCTAGGATTGCCTGTTCATGGGCAGTGAAGGTGATCTGCGTTCCGACAGCAATCCCTCTTCTAGCAGTCACGTTCCGAACCCTAACGTAGAATCAATCGTTTCACCAATCACCACAGTAAGCGCAGTTGCTGCATCCACCACCACTATCACCGTCGCCGCTCGGCGCACCGGTTATCCTACCAGTAGCCGTGACGTGGCAGCCCCGGCTACGTTCGCCGGCGGTGCCGCCGAGCCATCATCGAAGCGCGCCAAGCTATCCTGTCCGTACCACGAGCACGGCTCTGCGGCGTCCGGCCGCGGTTCTGAATCGTGCGCGTTCTGCGCATCTGCCGCCGCGACTCCCGGGAAATCTTCTGACGATCACCCCGCCGGAGCTGCTGCCATCTGTCACGCCACAATTGGTCGATTTGCAACCCTGTCCATGGGGATGGGGCCAGGGGACGGTGCTGCGGATTCTGCAGGAGGGAAGCAAGTAGGGAGGACTTATCAGCCGTCCGATCGCGATCGGCTCGGATCCAAGGGCCAGATTCGCACGGTGGAGTTTATCCGCCTTATAGAGCAATCGCTGCGTTCGCTAGGGTATGATTCCATAGCGGCGCAACTGGAAGTGGAATCGGGCGTAGCTCTGGAATCCAAGCCTGTAGCGCAGCTTCGGCAAGCAATTATGGCTGGCCAATGGGAGGAAAGTGTCGCAATTCTGTCGAACCTACAAGGTTTGGATTTATCTTTGCTTCGGCACGCCGAATTCCTCCTTTTGGAACAGAAATTCCTCGAGCTTGTCGAAGCTGGGGAGGTTCGGGAAGCTCTGACGACCCTCCGAGGCAGGCTCGGGCCCACAGCTTCGGATCCGAAGCGGTTGCACCAATTGGCGGGCTGGCTCCTGTGCGCCGGACCTGAGGACCTCAAGGCTCGGTCCGGTTGGCCCGGGACAGGTTCGGAATCACGGGGTTCGGTTTTGAAAGCGGTACAGGCTTTGCTGCCGGCGTCAGTGATGGTTCCTGATCGGAGATTGGAACAGCTTGTAGAGAGTACGGTTGAGATGGGTCGAGAGCGGTGCCACTACCACAACGTGGCTGACGAGGCGCTGACACTGTTCACGGACCATTCGTGCGGGCGGGAAATGATTCCAACGGTTACCACTCAGGTACGGGGTGTAATCAACGTTACCACTAAGGTAGGGGTGTAATCAGTGTCGCCACTAAGGTGAGGGCTACCATTGAGGTGGGGATGTGATCAGTGTTACCACGGAGTAGGGAGTGTAATCTTCCAGTGTTACCAACCCAGGTGGAGGAGTGACGTGACCACATCGTCTCACCATTTTTCCTTTCTCAACCCGCTCACCGTCTGCTCACATTGTTGCTGTCTCAGGTGCTCCCCCTTCCACTCGGCAGATGTTGCAGGGTGTTTTTGAGATTTCTCAAAAACAGGTCTTCCAAGACGGCAGTCCACTTAATGCAACCCTCCTGAACCCTCCCTACCTCCCCCCCTCTCTCAGGTGCTGGAGCAGCACAACGACGAGGTATGGTGTGTGCAGTTCCTTTCAGCTCACCCTCTTTACCATCTCTCTGCACCTCTCTCTCACTTCCTCCATCTCTCTTCTGCTCGCGCGCCCCCTCTCCCTCTTCCCCTCGACAGCTCTTGGAGCAGCGCTGCAGCACAACGATGAGGTGTGGTACGTGCAGTTCTCTCACGACGGCACGGCACTCCCCCCCCAACCCTTCTCTCTTCTTCTACTCACACAAATTCTTCCCCACCTCTTCCCACCAGGTACTGGAGCAGCACAGCGATGAGGTGTGGTGCGTGCAGTTCTCTCACGACGGCACCAGGCTCGCCACTGCCTCCAAGGACCACACTGCTGTAGTCTGGCAGGTGAGGCTCGCCTCCCTACCACACTGAACCGCACTGAATCACACCCTGCCACATTGATCGCACAGTGGCTTTCAAGATTGATTTCTTCCATCTTCCATTGTGGCACCAGGCTTGCCACTGCCTCCAAGGACCACGCTGCTGTCGTCTGGCAGGTGAGAGTTGCCTCTCTACCGTTTCCCAGCGCACTGAATCTCACCACTGAGGCTCTTAAGATCGCCTCCCCCCATCTTCCATTGTGGCACCAGGCTTGCCACTGCCTCCAAGGACCACACTGCTGTCGTCTGGCAGGTGAGAGTTGCCTCTCTACCGTTTCCCAGCGCACTGAATCTCACCACTGAGGCTCTTAAGATCGCCTCCCCCCATCTTCCATTGTGGCACCAGGCTTGCCACTGCCTCCAAGGACCACACTGCTGTCGTCTGGCAGGTGAGGCTTGCTTCTTTACCTAACTGCACTGCAGCACACAGAATTGCACTCAAAGACACTGACTTGCTCTTAAACTCCCCCATCTCACACGACAGCACCAGGCTGGCTTGCCACTGCCTTGAAGGACCACACACACCGCTGTGTATGGCAATTGAGGCACTGCTGTACACGCTATCAGCCACTCCCTGCCGCTCTCCTACGTGGCGTGGAGTCCAGACGAATCACCGCTGCTCACAGCCGGCAATGACCTAAACCCCTCTCTCCACTCTCCACCCTCCACCCTCCACCCTCCACTCTACATCCTCCACCCTCCCTACCCTCGCTCCGTTTCCTGACTCAGGTTCTAGACAGTTTCTCCCACCTTCACCTGGACACCCTCTCAGGCCATTCCTTCCCTCTCTAGTACGTCAGTCCAGACACGACTCACTGCTGCTCACAGCCGGCAACGACCCCTCCTTCCCCTTTCCCTTTCCGTCCACACCCCATCCCTTTTCCAACCCTTCACACCCCATCCCGCCCCACCTTCTTCAGATTCTAGACAGCTTCTCCCACCGCCACCTGCGCACCCTATCAGGTCACTCGCTTCCGCTCTCCTATGTACTGTGGAGCCCAGACGACTCGCTGCCGGCAACGATCAACCCCTTCCCTCTCTCGCCCCCACCCCCCGCTTCCCTTGTCAGATCGATGACAGCTTCTCCCACCGTCGCCTGCACACCCTATCCGGCCATTCCCTCCCGCTCTCCTACGTGGCGTGGAGCCCAGATGACTCGCTGCTGCTCACAGCTGGCAACGACCCCTTTGTGTGCCTCTGGGATGCCACCACTGGCCGCCTGCTCCGCTCCTTCTCCAAACACCACGATGTGAGTTGTTGGTAACGTGCCTAGGACTGTGAGGTTGCCAGACCCCTCTTGCTGCTGCTCACTCCACCACACCTTTTAACTCTCATCTCGCCCCCCTCGTTTCGGTCACCCTTCATTCGTCCATCCCTCTCACAGGCCATTTCTGCCTGTGCGTGGTTTCCCTGCGGGCGGCGGTTCTTGTCAGCATCTGCGGCGACGGATCGCACAGTGTGTGTGTGGGACGTGGAGGGGGTCGAGCTGCCCTCGTGGGGAGGGGTGGGGCGGCACCTGTGGCAGCAGGATGGGGGCGATTTTCCTCGCATCAACGACCTTGCTGTCAGCTCCGACTGCTCCCATGTGGTGAGAGGACTCCCACCACATTCCACCGCACCCCACCACACTCCACTGCACTCCACCACCACCACACTCCACCACACTCCACTCCTGTCCCACCACACTCCACTGCACTCCACTGGAATGGGGTGGGGCGGCACCTGTGGCAGCAGGATGGACGAATCAACGACCTTGCTATCAGCTCCGACTGCTCCTGTGTGGTGTGTGCGGGCATGCATGCATGCATGCGTGCGTGCTCGGGGCCGCGCTCTTGGGTCTGTCTGTGCATGCGTCTGCTTGTTCTTTTATGTCTGTGTGTTTCTGTGCGTGTGTATGTGTGCATCTCTTTGCTACCCTCTGCCACTCGGCCATTTTCTTGGCTTGGCCTTTCTTGACTGCCATAGGTGCTCCTCTCTCCTCCTTCTCCTCCGGGTGTCGGTGTGCAATGAGAAGGAGATTCGGGTGCACGAGCTTCCCTCATTAACTACTTCTCACTCCATCCCTCCCTGCTTTCTCCTTTCTCCTCCCTGCGTTTCATACCCTCTTTCCTCCCCCCACTCCAGGTGTCAGTGTGCAATGAGAAGGAGATTCGGGTGCACGAGCTTCCCTCGGGAAAAGAGCATGTGGTGAAAGAGACCAAGTCAATCACGTCGCTCAGCATGTCTGTGGACGGCAGGTGGGCGATGGGGTTGAGTAGAAGGTGGTTTTTCCAAACAGGTGCGTGTCTGGGATGGTTGGAGGGCTGGGATTGAAACGCCTTGTCCAAATATCACGTGGTGAAGGAGGGACCAGGTCAATCACGCCGCTCAGCATGTCTACTGACGGCAGGCGAACGGTGGGGGTGAGTGGAAGGTGACTTAGGGTACCTCTGAGAACCCCAAAATAACCCTAAGAGGTGACTTAAATTACCTCTGAGAACCCCAAAATAACCCTAAGAGGTGAATTAGGGTACCTCTGAGAACCCCAAAAGAACCAGATGGATGTTGGTGAACCTATCTTAAGGAGACATCCTTCTCCTAACCCTTACCACCTCCCCCCATGCTCCATGTTTCCAATGACTCCCCATCCCCGTCCCCGCCTCCCCCCCTCCTCTTCTTTCCTCCCATTCACATACAACCAGGCAGGTGTTGCTGAATCTATCACCGGGCAACATCCATCTCTGGTTCATTCAGGACATATATGCTGCTAAGCCTCCTCACAGCCGGTGCCTCATGCTTTCACCCCCGCTCTGTATCCCCCGCTCTCTATCCCCCACACTCTATCCCCCACACTCTATCCCCCACACTCTATCCCCCACTCTATATCCCCCAGTCTCTTACCAACCAACCAGGTGGGTGTTGGTGAATCTATCATCAGGCAACATCCATCTCTGGTGCATTCAGGACATATGTGCTGCCAAGCCTCCTCACAGCAAGTGCCCCAATTCTTTCACTGTCCTTCCCCCCCTCTCTCTCACCCAACCAACCAGATGGGTGTTGGTGAATCTATCATCGGGCGACATTCATCTCTGGTGCATTCAGGACATATGTGCTGCCAAGCCTTCTCACGTCAAGTGCCCCAATGCTTTCACTGTCCTTTTGCACCACTCTCTCCCCCCCACTTTCTCCCCGAAACAACCAGGTGGGTGTTGGTGAACCTATCATCAGGCGACATCCATCTCTGGTGCATTCAGGACATCTGTGCTGCCAAGCCTCCTGACAAGCCAGCTTTTTCGTACAGCGGGCAGGTGAGAAATAGTGGTCGGGCAGCAGAAGGGGTTGTATCTGCAGGTTGTAGAGCTGTCAGGATTAACCTTTGAAACCACCCAACGATATACACATGCGCATTTCACACGATGCAGTTTGTATGTTAGGCTTTTTTTGTTCCTGCAAGTATGCACACCCTATGCTCAGTCGTCCTATTTGTTTGAGCCATTTATCGTTCATTATGGCAACGCTTCCTTGCCTTGTGGTTCATTCACTTGATTCCTCCCAGGTGCAAGGCCGCTTTGTGATTCGCTCCTGCTTTGGAGGCCATGATCAGCGCTTCATCATAAGTGGCAGTGAAGATGCTCAAGTAAGTGACAACGTTTAAGTAAGCAATAAGGTGAACAATCAATCTCCTAGCCATGCCACAGGTACACACTTTACCCTCCCTCCCCCCCACCCAGTACCTCGCTGGCTTTGGGGTAAAAAAGACTTTTATCTCCCTTTCCCCCTTTTTTGTATGGTGGTTTACACTGTTTACACCATGGTTGTGCCATATGCAGGTGTACATGTGGCATCGCGACACTGGCGAGGTTATGGAGGTGCTTCCGGGGCACTCCGGGACAGTAAACGCCGTCTCTTGGCCGACCACCCGGCCACACATGTTTGCTACAGCCTCGGATGATGGCACTGTGCGCATTTGGGGGCTACCCTCTCTTGTTGCTGGAGGTCTGGGAATGGAAGTGGGAGGTTCGGATGGTGGTATGGGTATGAATGTTGAGACGGATAGGGAGGATGGTGGGGGGAGTGCGATGTTGGGAACGGAGTGATGAAGGTTTCTAAACCCTGGTGTTTTTAGGAAAGCAGCATTCAAACTGGTTCCCAGGAGGGTTGAGGTATGTGCCCCTTTTGTATATAATGAATCAAATGTAAGATATGGACCTAAAAAGAGGCTGTATATGATAGATCTCTGTATTATCTTGTTGCAGTGAGCAATAGTATAGAGCTGTAGAGAAGATTTAAGGTATTGTTTCCCTGTATGTTATACACAATGTTTATGTAGGATGTAGATCGATGACCGTGGCTACAGTGCGGCGGAGGTTCGACATTGGACCCTCCACGAGGCTCCGTTTTCCGTTCAGGTTTGGCCGAAGACAAGGCAGTGAGGGGCAAAGCAGGATTTTGAATCATTGCGAAGCAAACTGTTGGTCAGGCGAACCCATACAGTACAAAAGGACAATGCGGTTTGGATGTTGGAGGGAAGAATCGCGCGAGAACAACCGACGCCGCCAGTCACTGGGCCACTGGCCAAGGCCAGCTTCGGAAATCGAAATTCTAGGGTTGTGAATATCCTAGGACGCGTCACCTAGCTCGATCGATCCTGCGTAGGATCGATGTTTGGCATGCTACAGTCAAACGGTAGCATCGCAGTTTACACGGATACCCTATTTCGAGACATTTAACGAATGTACAGTAACGGGTGCACCACGATCTTGTCACCTCCCCCCAATCGCGATTGTTGCATCATCATACACACACCGATTTTGCGTGAGCTCCAAGCTCGCGCTCAAAGTGACAGGCAAAATCGATCGCCGTCGCACAGTTTGCAGGGTTACCTGGATAGTCTCATGTTGTTTATCGCAAACCATCCATACGACGGTGCTGCATACTTTCGCCCAACCATGTCCCTTGGCGCAATACCGAACGCGTCACCCAGGGCTCGAAACCAACCTGCGATCGATGTTCAGCTGTCACCTCCCACCAATCGTGCCCCAAACTTGCGATCAGTGTGCCCGATCGGTTTTTCCTGGTGATCCTGCGATCGATCGAGGGAGGTGACGCGTCCTTACATTTTTCTAGGGACTGGAGTTCTTGCCTTGCCATAACTAATGGAACGGTGACTTCTAGAAGCTGGTGGTCCAGGAGGTATCGATAATTAAGAGTTTAGGTTTCCCACAGTTGACGGTTTGGTCCTCACACTCTTTAGGTCGTCGTGGTCAAGTAGGTGCAAGGGATACGTTCTGTGTGTTCGCTTCTAGTACTAAAGCGCCACTATATATCCCTAATCGCTCCACTCCGTGACGGAGCGCCACTAGTGTCGACGCTATTTATGTCCGAATGTACCGCATTGCTCTTCTTAGAAAAACCCCTGTTCTGGTCCGACTGGTGCTAATTTTTTTAATATTATTTCGATTTTTGGTCCCACTTTGCAAGCCTCGCAGCACGTTTAGATAATCAACCTGTCGAACCGCAGTAACTTTCGAGTTGGCTAGAAAGTATTTATGATTTTGCATCTGGTTGATTTAGTCAGACTTTGCACGCCTGGGAACACCATTGAATAATGGACCTGTCGAACCGCCGTATCACGCGAAGCATCTCCACCGAGCTCCAGGCTCGCGCCATGGCTGTTGGTAACTGTGGAGCCGTCAATAACGGTGAGAGTGCTCGATCAGCGTGCGTTAGTTAGTACCCACTGAGTTTCCTTTACTAATTCGTTCTGGTCCTTGTTAGGGTTCTTTCGCTTTCTTACTTATTGTGCTTGTGCATTTAGAACGACATTGAGAGCGTCAATGCCGCGAACTTCAATTCAATCATTCTAACATTCTCCCCATTACTGCATACACATGTTGCTCAACTGCTGCGCGCGAATTTGCCCTGCACGCGCCAGAAAGTCTGCACCCGTGTATTTTGCGCCAGCCAGTTGCACTGACTATGAACCAATATTAACCACAGAAACCAAAGTCAAACTGAAGAGACCGAAGTAAAAAAGTCAACGAGAAGTTACAATCTCTTTATTAGCCCTTTTTTGCTAGGTGCGACGTTGACGAAATTTGCGAAATGCTGAAAATCACTTAAAGGCCCCCTTCACAAGGCAACCTTGGGTTAGTCAAACGAGCATCATCTGTACTCCCATTCCATTCAGCCTCAGGAGATCCTTCGACCTCCATGTCCCCTGAAGACCTCTTCGTCCGCTCTTTCCTAGACAGCACCGCGGCTGCTGGTTTCGCTGCTGATGGCGGTGCTGCTTCCGCTGCTGATTCTGCCGCTGGCACTGGTGCTGCTGGTGCCGCTGCTGCTTCCCCTGCTGATTCTGCCGCTGGCACTGGTGCTGCTGGTGGCCTTAGCAGCGCAGACGGCTCTTCCCCGTTAAGCTTTGGGACTGGAGAGCAAGGGCGTGCGGGGCTGGGAACCCAGGGGGGAACCGGGACGGGGGAAACCGAAGGGGGGGCAGAAGGGAAGGGGGTTGCGGGCATGGGTTCGCCCTTGCCCTTTCCGGCTATAAACGTATGGGGAGCAGCAGCAGGACGAGGAGCAGGAACTGCAGCGGCAGGCACGGTAGGAGGAGCAGGCATGGGAGGAAGAGCAGGGCTGTCAGTTGCAGCGGTGTACCCTTCACCAAAGCTCAGCCGCCTCAACAGCGAGGAGCTCTTCCAGAGCTGGCTATCCACTGATGTAAGTTGCTGCTAGAATCTGCTAGTCGATTTTTGAGTCGGCCGAAAAAACGGCTTATTACACAGCGAGGAGCTCTTCCAGAGATGGCTATCCGCTGATGTAAGTCTCTGCAAGAAACTACTGGTCCTGAAAAACCCCTTTTTTGTCTTCTTCAAAGTCGTGAAATGTGTATTTTAAAAAGTTTTTATACTACTGATACATAGGTTTTTATTGAGGCCCAGCAGCAGCAGCAGCATCAAATGTATGTATTTCCATTTCTTCTTCCCATTGTCCCGCAGATAGCCAACTCCCCAATACAAGCCCTGCCGCCTCGTCCTTTTCCTCCAGTGAACCTCCCCCGTCCCACCTCTCGGCAGCAGTTGCAGCAACGGCTGCTGCCAGAACAGCAACAGCAGGGACAGGGGCAGCAGCAGCAGGGGCAGCAATACCAAGGGCAGGGGCAAGGGAGTGATGGTCCAGTCACCGACGCCAATGAGTCGTTTCTCTTTGCCATGCCGTCAGTGAGTGGGTTTGACGTGGCCCGGGGTGTAGGGTCAGGGTCGCTGCAGCAGCAACAACAGCCACAACAGCCACAACAGCCACAACAGCCGCAACAGCCGCAACAGCCGCAACAGCCACAACAGCCACAACAGCCGCAGCAGCCGCAGCAGCAGCAGCAGCAGCAGCAGCAGCAGCAGCAGCAGCAGCAGCAGCAGCAGCAGCAGCAGCAGCAGCAGCAGCAGCAGCAGCAGCAGCAGCAGCAGCAGCAGCAGCAGCAGCAGCAGCAGCAGCAGCAATGGCAGCAATCAACACAGTTCACACCTTCCCAGCAGCAGATGAGGCCTCCCCAACAGCAAGAAACACCTCCTCAACAGCGCAGGTGCAATGACTTTGCCTTGATTAAACGCTCTTCACTGGGCAACGGTCGTCTTCCTACTCTCCCTCCGTTCCTCCCTCCATACCTCCACATTCAGCCCCCTTTTGCCCTCTCCTGGCTGCAAATCCCCCTCGTCCTCCCCCACTCCCCCCCCGCCTCCTTCCCCCGCTCATCCCCTCCCCCTTCCCCCCCTTTCCTCTCTTCCCTCTCACGCACACGTGCACAAGCAGCACTGCACTTCTTCTCGGTGCATCTGTCCCGTGTGATCTCTGCTGTATCCCACCCACAGAACGCAGCTAGGCATGGGCTTCATAGAAATTGAGAACTCATGAAAACACTCTCTTCGTGCACCCGCTCTGGTGTACTTTTTGTTGATTCTTAACTGCAGAATGGGGCTAAGCACGCCACAGCAGCAGCAGCAGCAGCAACAGCCGCAGCAGCAACAACAACAGCAGCAGCAACAGCAGCAGCACCACCAGCAGCAGCAGCACCAGCAGCAGCACCACCAGCAGCAGCAGCAACAGCAGCAGCAGCAGCAGCAACAGTCGCCCAACTATTCTGTATGGCCTACCTACCTACCTCCTGTGAGAGCTATGTACTTGTTTCCATGCAAGCCCTGTCCATGTTGCGCCCATCTCACTCTTGTGCGTTCTAGAGTGTGAAGCAGCCAGCGTGGGCAAGAGTGTGTTGCACTGCACTCCACTGCACTTCACTGCACTCCACTGCACTTCACTGCACTCCACTGCACTTCACTGCACTCCACTGCACTCCACTGCACTTCACTGCACTCCACTGCACTTCACTGCACTCCACTGCACTTCACTGCACTCCACGGCACTTCACTGCACTGCACTCCACTGCACTTCACTGCACTCCACTGCACTCCACTGCACTCCACTGCACTTCACTGCACTCCACTGCACTCCACTGCACTCCACTGCACTCCACTGCACGCCACTGCACTCCACTGCACTGCACTCCACTGCACTGCGCTCCACTGCACTCTACTGCACTCCGCTGCACTCCACTGCAGAATGCACTTTCTCATGAGCATCTCTGCTATATATAGCTGAAGACTGTGTGTCAAATTCCGCTCGTTTGTCCCTCTCTGTCTCTATCAGGCTGCAGGGGCTGTTGCGGCTCAAGGCACCCATCACAAGGGGCAACTTCTGAGGCGCCTAAAGAATTTGCTCGTTTGCCTCTCTCTATCTCTGTTTGGTTGCAGGGGCTGTTGCGGCTCAAGGCACCCATCACAAGGAGCAAGTCACAAGAGATCCAGTAAGTGCTGGGACTGAAGTGCCTGGACTCAGCAGGTAAGTGACAGGACTTTGGTAGGTCCCATGACTTAGGCAAGTGCCAGGACTGAGGTTTTGCCAGGTCTGGTCTGGATTGTGCCAGGCTGGGGGGGGGGGTGGTCTCGCTCGCGTCCTCTGAGTAACCACTACTTTAAACCCTAGTTCTAAACCCCGAACTACAACAACTCTCCACTCCCGAAGCAGCTGGTGCCTCTAGAACCCTCCCTCCCTGCTCCCCTACCCACAACTGCAACAACACAGGCGGCTGGTGGGCGTATTTTCGAGTCGACTAAAAAATAATCCTCCCTCCCTGCGCCCCTATCCACAACCACAGCAAAACAGCAGGCTGGTGAGCGCCCAAGGCGTGGCGCTATCCACAGACGAGCTGCTACAGCACTCACTCAAGCTCACTAACACCCCAAATCCCTAACCCGAAACCCCTCCATTGCCACAGGCGGCTCATGAACGCCCAGGGCGTGCCTTTCTCCACGGACGAGCTGCTGCTGCTGCTGCTGCTGCTGCTGCTGCCTTGAGTCAGGCTAGTCAACAGCCTAAACCCTCCCTCCCTTCACCCGTACCGCCCCATCACAGGCGGCTGGTTAATGCTCAGGGCGTGCCGCTCTCGACAGACGAGCTGCTGCAGCGACTGGCGTCCCCCTCGGACCTGCAGGCCACCATCGCCGCCCTGCAGGGGCCGCTGGGCCACGTTGACCTCGCTGCCCTCTCCTCCTCCGCTGCTGCCCTCGCTGCTGCTATCCTCGGGAACCTTCAGATACCTCTTCCTCCTCCTGCTGCTGCTGCTGCTGCTGCTGCTGCTGCTGCCACGAGTGGTGCTGGTAATCCCACTGCTGCTGCTGCTGCTGCCAGTCCTGGTGGTAATGGCTTCGTTGCTCCCGTTGCTGCTCCTGGTGCTCCTGGTGTGAGTGCTGGACTGGGATCAGCAGCAGGCAGGCTCGGGGGGACTCCCCCTATGCCTCCCATTCCGCCTTCCCCTGGAGGCAGGAGGACTGGCGCAGGGGGAGTGGGGAGAGGAGTGGGGGCAAGTGGAGTGATGTTTAGTGGAGTGAGGACAAGGCAGATGGCACGGGGAGGGCCTGTGCATCAACAAGCGGGGTTGAACCCTGGGGTAGGAGACCAGCTGCAGGGGGGGCAGCAGGGGCAGCAGCAGGGTGAGCAGCAGGGACAGCAACAGGGGCAGCAGCAGGGGCAGCAGCAGGGGCAGCAGCAGGGGCAGAAGAAGAGTAGTGCATCGTCGTTGGTTCATCGACTGCAGAACAAACTGGGTGCTAAAAACAGGAGAAATCAGAGTGCGCAGCAGCAGGCGCAGCAACAACAGCAGGGGCAGCAGGGAGAGGCGCAGCAGCTACAGCAGGGGCAGGTGCAGCAGCAAAGGCAGGGGCAGCAGGGACAGCAGGGGCAGGTGCAGCAGCAAAAGCAGGGGCTAGGGCGGGCACAGCAGCAGGGGCAGGCACAGCAGCAGGGGCAGGCACAGCAGCAGGGGCAGGCACAGCAGCAGGGGCAACCGCAGCAACAGCAGCAGGGGCAACCTCAACAACAGCAGCAGGGGCAACCTCAACAATTGCAGCAGGAGCAGCAGCAGCAGCAGCAACAGCAGGAACAACAACAGCGGCAGAAGGAGCAACAGAGGCAAGTACTGCTGCAGGTGAGGCAGCAACAAGAGGGGCCACCGGTACTAGCTCAAGAACAATCAGCAGCAACACCTGAGGGGCACAATCAGCACGAATTTCCGAAGCAGCAGCAGCAGGGGCAGGGGCAGGGGCAGGGGCAGGGGCAGGGGCAGGGGCAGGGGCAGGGGCAGGGGCAGGGGCAGGGGCAGGGGCAGGGGCAGGGGCAGGGGCAGGGGCAGGGGCAGGGGCAGGGGCAGGGGCAGGGGCAGGGGCAGGGGCAGGGGCAGGGGCAGGAACAGGAGCGGTACCATTCCCAGGCAAACACCCATTCCCAACCCTCCCCATCAGCCCTGGCAAGCCCTTCCGCCTTCCCAACCTCAGGCTCAGCAAATCCTGCTGCTTACCCAGCCTCAGGCTCGGAAGGGTCTCATCCTGCTGCAAGCGCAGGCGCGGTCGGTCCTCCCATGCTTAACTCGGGTTCGGTTGGGAGCGGCAATATGGAAGGCAAAGTGAATGGGAGTGTGATGGCTGCTATGGCGCCTGGAGGAAGAAACGTGTCGTCAGTGGTCAGCCTGCTTAAAGGGTACGTTTCCGTCCTCCTCCTTCTACGCTCTGTACTTTGTGTGTGTGTGTGTTTGTGTGTGTGTGTGTGTGTGTGTTTTTCTTGACCTCGTCTCCTCTTCTCCCTGCATCTGTACCCATTCCCCTTCGTCCACTACCACCCTACCCTCTTCCCTGTTCCCCTTAATCCCCTTCCACAGCACCTTAGCGCGCAAACAAGGCTCCATGGGAAAGAAAGTAGCTCAAAGCCCCACCAGCAGCACCACCCCCCACTCCACCCCTCTCTCCCCCTCCTCAGCCTCCCCCACCCCCACTCCCTCCCATTCCGATGCTCCCTTCCACCATCCCCATCTGCACCAACCGCACATCACCCATTCCCACCGCGCGTCCCACTCCAACCCTCCTCCCGGTGTTGCCGCTGCCGCTGCCGCTGCTGTTGCTGCAGCAGCCGCTGCTGGTGGTGGTGGTGGTAGGCTGCCTGTCCTTGGTCGTTCCGCCAGTGGTGGTACACAAGGGTATATCGGCTCTGCTGCTTCCGCAGCTGATGCTGCAGCTGCCGCTGCTGCTGATGGCAGGTTTCCTGCTCTTGGTCGGTCCTTCAGTGGTGGGGGTGCACAAGGGTATAACTGTTCGCCTGCTGCACATGATAATGCTCCTTCTCCTGCTGCTGCTGGTCGTAGCAATAGTGCTGCACTTGCTGCTGCTGCCGCTGCTTCTTCTGGTGCCACTGGCACGGCTGTTTCGGGTGCTCCGGAAGCTACGGCAGGTCTGCAGTCACCCGGAGGTTCGGCATCAGGTCCGACATCAGGTCCGGCATCAGGTCCGGCATCAGGTCCATGCACCTCGGAAGGCACTGTGGCCTCTCACCCTGTAAAAATAAGCCAATCAGCATCTCGCCCCGGCACTCCAACCAACTTGCAAACAGGTCTACCTGGTTCCGGCCCTACTACTCCCACCATAGGGGGAGGTGTTGGTATACCTGGGTCAGGCTCGGTTGGTAGTACTCCCAAAGTGGTTGGGTCCGGTGCAAAGGAGCAGGGATCTGTTCCTGGCACTCCTATCTTTGGGGCGGCGGGGTCAAGTTTTGAGATGGAGAAGGAGCAGCAGAAGCAGTATCAGGTGGTGGGAGCACAGCAGGTGCAGGAGCAGCAGCCGCAACAGCAACAGCAACAGCAACAGCAACAGCAACAGGAGCAGCAGCAACAGCAATGGCAGCAGGAGCAGGAGATGCAGGTGCGAAGGCAGCAGCATAACGAGAAGCAGCAGCAGCAGTGGCAGCAGCAACTACAGCACCAACAACAACAGCAGCAGCAACAACAAATACAGCAGCAGCAGAAGCAGCAGCAGCAGCAGCAGCAGAAACAGCTGCATTCCACTTCCAACAACAGCACTCTTCCCCATCCCTCAGGCGTTAGAAACAGACTGTACAACCGATCACTCAGGGTCCAAGTCCCCGCCTCCATTCCCCCCTCTTTCCTCCACCCCACCCCAGCTTTAGCCTCCCCAGGTGCACCTTCCCCCACTGCAGCAGGTGTACCTTCTCCAGATAGCCCTCTCGCCTCCCCCAGTCTACTCGTCACTCCTGCCAGCCTGTCTCCCTTGGGGGAGGCTCGGCTGCTAAATTCCGGGATTGGATTCGAGGCGAGTCAGAGTCTGAATGGAGGATGCACAGGAGCAGGGGGCGTGGGAAGTGGTAGTGGTGCCTCTGCTGCTGCTGCTGCTGCTGGTGTTTCTGGGGGTGCTGCTGCTGGTGTTTCTGGGGGTGCTGCTGCTGCTGGTGTTTCTGGGGGTGCTGCTGCTGCTGGTGTTTCTGGGGGTGCTGCTGCTGCTGGTGTTTCTGGGGGTGCTGCTGCTGCATTAGCAGGGGTGAAGAGAAGCGCTAGTGCCATGTCTTCTGACAGTCCCACAGCAGCACAGCAGCAGCTACAGCAGGCACGGAGGGGTGGGTCTGGCCCTTTGGACCACTACCCCTGTGACGGGCCGTCCCTCGCTAGAACCGGCTCTCTCACTCCCTCTGGCGCTTTTGAGTCGACTCAAAAGCAGCAGGCGAGGAGGGGTGGGTCTGGCCCGTTGGACCACTACCCCTGTGACGGCGGGCCGTCCCTCGCTAGAACCGGCTCCCTCACTCCCTCTGGCGCCCACACCCCCTCGGCCTGCCTCACTCCCACTGTGCCCCAGTCTCCGTTTGGCGACTCCTCACGGCAACACAGAGTGGAGCGACAACGCAAGTAAGTCCCCCGGATGCAGAGTGAAAAATGCCCTTATGCTTCGTTGTTGCCCGACTGGACTTTTTGTGTTTTGAGTCGACTCTAAACAAGGAAGTCCCCCTTGAGGTAGGGTGTAGAATGCCCTTATGCTTCTTGGTGGCCCGGACCGGACATTTTGTATTTTGAGTCGACTCAAAACAACTCCTCCGTGAGGCATAGTGTGACATGCCCTTGTGCTTCGAGTTAAGTAGGTTCTTTGTGGCCGGGACTTTCATGCTCTCATCCCTTGTTTGTGCTCCTCTTCTTGCCATGTCCACACAGAATGGCGGAGGCCAAGGGGCGCACGGGGGGTGCTGCAGGTGCCGGGTTGGCATCGCCAGATGTGGCCAGCTTGAAGCGCAAGTGTGAGACTCTTGAAACGGAGAACCGGAGCCTCAAGACGTTCCAGAGCTTCATGAACAGGTGAGAAAGAGGAGCTCTGCTGTGCGGTGCCGTGCGGTTCTGTGCTTTGTTAGAGAGTCGGAAGTGATTCCAACATAGTTGGATTGGAAGTGGCTGACCTCTAGCGCAAGTGTGAGACACTTGAAATGGGGAATCGCAGCCTCAAGTCGTTCCAGAGCTCCATGAACTGGTGAGAGATAGTGTGGAATCCAGTGCGGTGCTGAACGGTTAAGGAGTGCGGCTGTGGAGTTCATTGTGGTGCTGTGTCATAGCTTCGCAAATTTTATTTAATGGCAATACCTCAACTTTGTTCCCTTCTTTCCTTCCTCTTCTTTTTGCTTCTTCCTAAACGTGCCCACCTATCACCCTTCTTCTTTGCGCTGTCCCTGTGGCCGTCACAGGAAGGACTCAGAGCAAACAACGCGGATAGAGCAGCTGGAGCAGGAGAACGCCCAGCTGCGAGCAGAGAACGAGAGGCTCAGGGAGGAGCTTGCTGCTGCTCGACAGACAGGAATGGCCATACCAAGCATGCCCACCATGCACGCTGCTGGGATGGCGCAGCCATGACATGGATGTGGGCGCACACGATAAAGCAGCTGGAGCAGGAAAAGGCTGAGCTGAGAGCAGAAAACGAGAGGCTCAGGGAGGAGCTAGCTGCTGCTCGACAGACAGGAATGGCTTTAACCAGCTTGCCCACTATGCACGCTGCTGGGATGGCACAGCCATGACATGGATGTGGCATCTCAGCAGGAAAAGGCTGAGCTGAGAGCAGAAAACGAGAGGCTCATGGAGGAGCTTGATGCTGCTCGGCAGACAGGAATGGGCATAACCGGCTTGCCCACCATGCATGCTGCTGGGATGGCGCAGCCATGACATGAATGCCGCCGCTGCCGCTGCCGCTGCTGCTGCTGTTTCCTCTGCTCGACAGACAGGCATGGCCAGATCCAGCATGCCCGCCATGGCCCACGCATGCTGCTTTAATCGCCTCATAGGAAGGTCATGGATGGAGCAGCTGGAGCAGGAGAATGCCCAGCTGAGGCAGAGCATGAGGCTTAGGAATGACCACAAGCAGCATGCATACCAAAGGGAAGTACAGCGTCCATGCCCCATGGGTGGCACAGCCATGATATGAGCTTACATATTTATCCATACAGTTAAATTGAGTAATAGGCAGTTTCCGGCTAATGGCTCAAATTTCAAGAGCTGCTTCCCACCCACTGCCTAGTACCTGCATTCCAACCCACTGCCTGTAATCGCCTAGTAGCTGCTTCCCACCCACTGCCTAGTACCGGTACCTGCCCACTTGCAAAGCCTCTGCTTGCTTATTGCAATGCAAGGTAGAGATTTGGCTACATATCGAACTGAAGTACTAAAGGAATTGGCAAAACATACAGAAATTAACAAACCGTAAAAACTAACCTCCAAATGAACAACCCCATAGTCAGCGTCAAAGCTGCCCAATCGAATCCTGAAGCAGCAAAGTGGGCCACCATTTTCAACAGCACCTCCTAGGCAGTGTGAAATTTTCGTAAAATTTTCTTCCTACGCTGCCCCTGCAGCCGCACTGCCCTTGCAGCCTGCGCGCTGCCCCTGCGACCACGCTGCTCCTGCAGCCGTGCTCGCCCCTGCGACCACGCTGCCTCTGCAGCCATCCTTGCCCCTGCGACCGTGCTGCCCCTGCAGCAGTACTCGCCCCTGCGACCGTGCTGCCCCTGCAGCCGTGTCTGCCCCCGTGGCCCGCGCGCTGCCCCTGCAGCCCGTGCGTCGCCCCTGCAGCCCGTGCGTCGCCCCTGCAGCCCGCGCGCTGCCTCTGCAGCCCGCGCGTCGCTCCTGCAGCCCGCGCGTCGTACCTGCAGCCCGTGCGCGCTGCCCCTGCAGCCCGCGCGCCGCCCCTGCAGCCAGCGCGCTGCCCCTGCAGCCCGCGCGTCGCCCCTGCAGCCCGCGCACCGCCCCTGCAGCCCGCGCGCTGCCCCTGCAGCCCGCGCGTCACCCCTGCAGCCCGCGCGTCGCCCCTGCAGCCCATGCGCGCTGCCCCTGCAGCCCGCGCGTCGCCCCTGCAGCCTGTGCGCGCTGCCCCTGCAGCCCGCGCGCCGCTTCTGCAGCCCGCGCACCGCCCTGCCGAGCCGCGCCGCCCAGCCCGAGCCGCGCCGCCCTGCCTGAGCCGCGCTACTTCTACTGCTTTCTTAAAAAAAAAGACAAAAAAAAAGAGAAAAAAAAAGAAAAAAAAAAAAGGGTTTCCACTGCTGCGGCTGCTGCTGCGGCACTCGCTGCTACTGCTGAGCTGTGCCCTGCCGAGCAGCGCCGCCCAGCCCGAGCCGCGCCGCCTAGGCCGAGCCGCGCCGCCCGAACCCGAGCCGCGCCGCCCAAACCCGAGCCGCCCTGCTACTACTACTGCTACTGCTGCTGCTGGTGGAGGTGCTGCTAGGGGTGCGGCCGCCCAGCCCCACCGAGCCGCCCTGCTACTGCTACTACTCCTGCTGCTGCTACTCGTGCTACTGCTGCTGCTGGTGGAGGTGCTGCTGGGAGTGTTGGAGATGCTGCTGGTGCTGGAGGAGCTAGAGGTGGTGGACCTACTCCTGACCATCGCTGTCTGTCATGGCCACTATTGCGGCAGTTGCTGCGACCAGGGGTGGACAGCAGCGGGCACTGCCTCTCCTGTTGAACAAGAATGAATGAACTAAGAGTGAAATGAGTACAAGTATGAAAAACTAGGAATGTGTACCCCCTATAGGCTAACCCACTGTAGCCTAAACAACTACAACAACATATATCATGTTTGACACACCCCCATAGGCGAAGTGGGGGAGAACTAGGGGTCACAAGACCAGTCAAGTAAAGCAAAGCAAAGCAAAGCAAGCTCAGGGTGGATCACAACGTCACCACACAATCCGAGCACAAGTGCAAGGCCACAAGGCCAGTTCACATGCAGGAGTACATATATATATGTAAGACTAAACAAGCAAGAGCGGTGATATATATATATATATATATGTAACAGTACAAAGAGAGTCAAGAGGAGAGCAAGTGAGGCAAGACAGACACACGACCCAGCTGGGTACAGCAGCGCTGATGATCACAAGGCGGAAGTGCCTTGGTGAAGACATCAGCAGTGTTGGCCTCAGAGGCCACGTACGCAAGCCGCAACTGACCACGCTGCTGTAGCTCACGAGCAAGGAAGTAGCGGAGAGCAATGTGCTTTGTTCTGTGCTCCAGTCTCTGCTCCCGACACAAGGCCAGCATGGCCTTGTTGTCGACGTACAGGACCGGAGGAGAACGAGGCGGCTCTCCAAGGTCGGTCAGCAGGTAGGTGAGCCAGCGAAGCTTCTGAGCAGCCATGGCCCCTGCGTAGATCTCAGCCTCACAACTGGAGCCGAGAACAGAAGACGAGCGAGTAGCCCGCCACGAAACAGAGCCGGAACCAAGGCTGAAGGTGTAACCCTGTGACGACCGCTGCGTAGCCTGGTCGTCAGCCCAAGAAGCGTCTGCGTGTCTAGTGAGGACCACTGGACTCCGCCCTCCAAGCACTAGCCCCATGCCCGACGTACTGCACAAGTAGCGCAACACCCTCTTTGCTGCAGCCATGTGCTCTGGTCGGTGTCTCCCAGGAGCAACATAGCGCGCAAGAATGCTAAGAGGGTATGCAAGGTCAGGTCGTGTGCAGGTCATCAGGTACATGAGACAGCCAACAAGCTCTGGGTACGGGCCACTCGACTCTACGGACTCATCCGAAGGCAGAGCTGAGAGCGAGTGGCGAGTAGACAGACGAGTGGCTTGAGGCGAGGAGTACGTGAAGCCGAAGCGCTGAAGGACCTGCTGCACCATGTGTGACTGAGTCAGGGTAATGGTGCGGCGTGCTCTGTCCCGGGTGATCTGCAAGCCAAGGTAGCTGCGCAGTTCACCCAGGTCAGTGCACGTGTGTCTCTTCTGCAGCTCGGACTTCACGTAGGCGAGTCCAGTAGTGTCAGCTGTGGCAAAGACCAAGTCGTCGACGTACACGAGGATGTAGAACGGCGGCAGAGAGGTGTCGGTGCGCAGAAACAGCGACGGGTCGGCAGTAGAAGGAGCGAACCCAAGAGCCGCAAGCGTAGTCCTCAGTGTGTCGTGCCACTCACGTGGCGCCTGGCTGAGACCGTAGACTGGACGCCGGAGACTCCATTGGGTACCAGGAGGGAAAAACCCAGTGAAGCCAGGTGGGCGGCGCAGCCAGATCTCCTCATGCAGGCTGCCCAGCAAGAAAGCTGTGTTGAAGTCGAGAGAGTGCAGCTCGTAGTCCCGGTGAGCAGCAACGTGCAGCAGTACCCGAAGAGTGGTCATCTTCGGGGTGGGGGAGAAGGTCTGAAAGTAGTCAACTCCCTGTCGCTGACTGAAGCCACGAGCCACGTAACGCGCCTTGAAGACAGGCGGAGAACCCGGCGGCCGCTTCACCCTGAAGATCCACATGCCACTGACGATGTTCGCCCCAGGAGGGGGGACAGCGTCAACGTAGGTGCCTGTGGACTTCCAGGAAGCCATCTCTGCATCCATAGCTGCCTGCCACTGAGAGGAGTAGGGACCCTCTATCGCCTCCGCGTAAGAGCGCGGAGTCGGGATGTCAAGTGCATCCGGGTCTCCCTCAGGGGTAAGCAGTACGGACACGAGATGAGGTGAAGCAGCGGCCAAGCACTGGAACTCCTCCTGCCTGTCCTCAAGGACGTCCGTGCCAAGGGCACACGCACCCCCGACGGACGGAGGACAGACAGACTCAGACTCAGCGACAAGACTCGCAGCGTAGTCTAGGCGACAGTGAGCAGCAAAGTCGACGAGCTCTGCAACTAGGGCAGACGCAGCAGAAGACTCGAAAGAAGGGTCAGTGACGGCAGTAGCAAGGAGACGCGTGACAGTAGGACTGGCAGCACAAAGAGAGTCCGTCGCAGGGTCGGCGAGAGCAGGAAGAGAGGACGCAGGAGGAGAAGGCAAAGGGGCACGCAGAGGAGCGGCACCCTGAGGGGGGAGGGGGTCTACGACAGCAGCACCTGGCGCGAGGAAGAGAGGCGGGGGTGGGAGCGGGGCAGTGCGGTAGGGGAAGAGGCGGTAGTAGGGGACAGACTCGTCAAAAGTGACGTCCTGAGAGGGCAAGACCCGGCGCGAGGTGGCGTGGTAAAACTGCCAACCAGGCGCGTCCGGAACAAAGCCGAGGAAGACGCAGGGAACAGCACGAGAGGAGAGCTTGTCCGCAGACGAATCGCGGACAAAGGCTCGAGATCCCCAGACCCGGAAACGCGACGCATCGCCAACCTCCCCCGTCCACAGCAGTGTGGGCGAGGTCTCCGGCAAGGAGACACGGGGCCAGAGGTTGAGCTGATGCGCAGCGTACCGGACCGCAAACGGCCACAGAAAGTGGGGGGCAGCCGCATGGATCAAGGAGGTACGAGCGACCTCCATGACCAGGCCAATGCGGCGCTCGGCAACTCCATTCTGTTGTGGAGAGGCCGGAAGCGTGAACGACTGCTAAATGCCGTGCTCAGCACAGTAGGCTGCCAAGAGGTCGGAGGAGAACTCACCACCTCTGTCAGAGTGCAAGCGCAGGA